GTATCGTCCATCGGACACTTCCTCGCAGCACTAAAGCTCTACTGCAGGCCCATTTATCTGGCCTCAATCCTGCAGCTGAACAACTACAGCAACACTTTCTGTGGCAAATCAAATCCAGCCGGTTGATCTGTTGACCGCACAGCCGGGGTTTGGGACGAAAAGTTCCAGAAAATGAAGAACAGATACGAGAGGGAAGCAGAAAGATGAGAAAAAGAGATGAAACAGCTTTACGGAGAAAAAAATGACCTCATCAGATGCTAAAACATTTTTTTTTTGTCAGATCAACTAAAAAAAAGGTACCAAAACTTTTATTGCTTCATTTAAGTTTAATTTTTACTACTTTTTGAACTTCATTTAAGTTCGATTAAAATAAAGCGAAACAAAATAGCAGCTCATATAAACAGGTTATCAGTATAAATCTCTGTTTTACAGTGTAGAAAACTCAGATCACACCGAGCTGAACCCACAGAGAACCACATCTGACAGCAAGACGTTTATCAGAAAGATGGCAGGGTTTAAAGGAAACTCCGGCACTTTTCAGCTTAATCTATCTGCTCAGGAACGTAGCTAGAACTTTTAGAACAGGGTGTCCATACATACACTGATCAGGCATAACATTCTGACCACCTCCTTGTTTCTACACTCATTGTCCATTTTATCAGCTCCACTTACTATATAGGTGCACTTTGTAGTTCTACAGTTACAGACTGTAGTCCATCTGTTTCTCTGATACTTTGTTAGCCCCCTTTTACCCTGTTCTTCAGTGGTCAGTACCCCCATGGACCCTCACAGAGCAGGTACTATTTGGGTGGTGGGTCATTCTCAGCACTGCAGTAACACTGACGTGATGGTGGTGTGTTAATGTGTGTTGTGCTGGTCTGAGTGGATCAGACACAGCAGTGCTGCTGGAGTTTTTAAACACCTCAGCATCGCTGCTGGACTGAGAATAGTCCATCAACCAAAAATATCCAGCCAACAGCGTCTTGTGGGCAGCGCCCTGTGACCACTGATGAAGGACTAGAGGATGACCAACACAAACTGTGCAGCAGCAGATGAGCTATCGTCTCTGACTTTACATCCACAAGGCGGACCGACAAGGTAGGAGTGTCTAATAGAGTGGACAGTGAGTGGACACAGTGTTTAAAACTCCAGCAGCACTGCTGTGTCTGATCCACTCGCACCAGCACACCTGCTCTGTGAGGGTCCATGGGGGTCCTGACCACTGAAGAACAGGGTAAAAGGGGGCTAACAAAGTATCAGAGAAACAGATGGACTACAGTCTGTAACTGTAGAACTACAAAGTGCACCTATATAGTAAGTGGAGCTGATAAAATGGACAATGAGCGTAGAAACAAGGAGGTGGTCAGAATGTTATGATCGGTGTAGACAAACAGACAGATAGATAGATACTTTATTGATCCTGAAGGAAATTTAGCAGTCAGTATCAGTCACACAGCACAGCACAATTATAATAAAGGTAATACAATATAAAAAGAGGAATATTAAAAAAACTATCTACAGTCAGATATACAACTAGAAATATACAAAAAATATGCAAAGATCTATTATAGATAAAAAGGCAGTAATGACTGTACAAGGAGGTGCAGGTAGCAGCATATAATGACTATACTGAATAAATGTGCGCATGTATTGGTAGTGAAATAAAGTGTCCAGGTGTGGAGTGTCCAGATGTGCCAGATGTGTGATAAGGTGTCCAGATGTGCAGACAGATAAAACAGACCTGTAATTTGGCATAAGAGACTCATCTCTCCTCTTCGCTCCTGGCAATTACTGTACCACTAAAGATCTGATGTGCTTATCTGAAACCAAGTTGGACCGTTTAAAGAACCGTGTTTCCAGCTTTATATACAGTTTCAAATACGGTCGCTGAGGGAGTGACAGTAAGGACCAGGTGTCACTGTTTTAGATAGGAAGGTTCATCAACAGGGAGACAAATTAATATTAAACTACATTAAATGATCTTATATTTATTTTTAACAGTTTGGTTAAGCCTAAGCTGATTCTATGTAGTTTGATAGCTCGGTAAACCAGAGGCACACAGCCAAGAACAAACTTAAATAAAAAGAGTGTTGATGTATTAAAATGACATAAGTGAAGTATTTTTATAACTGAATCTGTCAATCAATTCCACATAAATAAAGTACATCAATACAGTTGTTGCCAGAAGCAACTAAAAGACAAAGCTGTGTTGATGTAACGTGTGAAATGTTGACATGTTAGTCACTGTTTGAATCGACCAAATTAACCTTTCAGTGCACAACGTTAACTTTAACTGCAGACAGGCTGCAGGTTATACAGTCTACTGATCAGAGAGCTCAGCGCTGTATAAGCTGACCTACCTGTAAAATGAAACGATCATGATAATCATAGCTGGATCATTTTCGATAGTTACTCCATTGAATATCTGCTTCATAATGGAGCTCACAGAGCAGCAGTGCTGACCCAGCCCACATTCACTCAGCTGTTCACTGAGTAAATTAACCACATTACAATCACACTATTAAATGCAGCGTCATCTCAGAACTGACCGGTACCCTGTTGTGGACTTTTTCCATAAAGTGTACTCACTTTCTCACTTTCCATAACTGGATTGGCCATCAGAGCCGGCTCTACCTCATAAGCGACATAAGCAGCTGCTTAGGGCCCCACGGCCAACAGGGGGCCCCCTAACAACTTTTAGGTATGTACTGTAAGTTATTATTATGTTTAAGCACTAGAACACGAGAGGGAGATAACACTCCTCGAGTGTTCTATTGCTTTTATACAGCAGTTAAATAAATAAAGTAATAAATTAATAAACTGGGCCGTGAACACAGCGTTTAATATGTTTTAATGTTCGCAGTTCCTTCACCAAATTATAGTTCCTTAACGAGAAGCTTGCTGCTACATCAGAGTAACGAGCTCCGCCCACTCGCTGCACAGCCGGCAGTTCGTTCTCCAGCTCCTTACACTAAATTCCCAAACTGTCATCACCACTGAGCAGCTTTTCAGTCGGCAGCTGTGACAGAAGAACAGCTAAACAACCTGGAATCAGCCAGAAATGAACCCAATACCATTCGCCAAACATGTAGTCTGATCTTCAGAGTCTGACCAAATCAGACTGAGCCATAAAACTGACACAATATCAAGTTCAGCTCAGTTATGTCAGTTTTTGCCAGATCAGTAATTAATGTTGTTTTGTTCCAGCCAGTCTGTAAAGCATCTTACAGCCCATTTAGTTTGGCGAATGGTGTTGGGTTCATTTCTGGCTGATTCCAGGTTACTGAGTCCTCAGTTACACTAGTTAGTCTCAACTGCCTTTTAACTAAATTTGGTTGCACCACAAATCATTGTGTCTTAACTAGTATCTACTAACTAATACGCCGGTCTCTTTAACATCATAACACAGTGAGAACCGATCAGCAAACCCGCTGCCATGCAAACGTGACGGCAGCTGCTCTGACTTCAAACACCCAGCACAGAAGAGAACAATGTGTCCGAGTTAAACTGAATAAAGCTAATTATCTACAGCTGCTGTCTGTTTATTCTTTAATATTTCCCAAATATGCAGCTTTTTAAACGCTGGTTTCTGGCTGAGCGACACAACAGCAGCCTCAGTTTAGCTGTTTGTGCAGCTGCTGAGTCTCACTGAGCTGGAGCTGTGAGGGTTTTAGAGTCTTTACTTAGTTAAACTTAATGTTTTTGGTCTTTTTTGTGTTCTGTGTGTTGTTTCTGATGGTTTCTCCAAAACTTACACCTGGGGGGGTGTAGATATTTAGCTACTAAACTCCATGTTAAGACTAGTTTGTGGTGCAGCTCGTTCTGATTTAGTGGTAATAAACCTGAACTTAAACACTTACATTACAACTAGCCTAGGTGTGAACCTGAACTGGAGATTAAAGCAGCACGACTTGTGTGGAGCGTGTCAGACATTCAAGTGACGTCCTTTAATATCATATTTAATATCGTAAGTACTTTAAATTCAAGCCTGTTATAGTAATGATGGATTTATTTAGCCTGTTAGCTAACTTTCAGGCTTTTAATAGCAGTGACCGCTAAAGAAACTTAAGCTATTTACTGAAAATGGGTGCAGTTTGTATTTTATGCTAAATTGGTTTCACTCTGCTTTGTCTCATGACTTAGAATCTCTCCACTGCAATACTTTCACAATCATTTAGCAAAAAACAAAACTGCCCTGCTGAAAAAAAGTCTCGTCACCCAGCCTGGTCATTCTGGTTGACCAGCATACCAGCATCCAAAACACAATATACTGGTTTTGCTACAGGGCTGTGCTGGTTTATCTGGTTTATCTAAAAGATTGTTCTTTCATAAAGACAATGGTTCTACATGGAACCAGGAACACTCAAAGAAGCATTTGCATGCTTAAATGTTCCTTTGCGTGGTGCGATCATTGTTCAGATCGAGAATGTGTCGTATAAGGTTCTGTACAGCACCAAAAAGGGTTCTTTTATTGTGACACTTGACATTGTAACAGAAGAACGCTTTATGGTGCTATATAGAACCATTAACACATTCTCCATCAATCTGAAGAGCCATTTAACCATGCAAAGAACCTTTTAAGCATGCAGATGGTTCTCTGAGTGTTCATGGTTCCATATTTGAACCACTGTCTTTACTAAAGAACCATTAAAGAACCATTTTAAGTGTGTATGGTCAGTACTTTTAGAGCACTGAACAACTGCCTGGATTATAAAACAAGCACAATAACAAAAACAGCTGTTTAAATGGACCGACTGTACTGCAGAAGCTGGAATGCACTGCAAAACTCACTGTGTTCATAGTTACTGATTGTATTTTTTAAATTTGGCTCTATTTTTTCATTTCCAACAGCAAATATCAGAAAAAAACTGTTAGATATCTTGTATTGCAAAAAAGGTCAAGTATTGTGAAAGTGTGTTTTTTCGTATTACCCACCCCTACATCGCTCCCACAAACACAGTAATACCAGTATGTGTGTGGTGCCCTCAGGGGTCACTCACCATCTCCACCTGTCTGGGGTCCAGCTGTGTCGGCGCTGTGGAGGGAACAGCAAACTGGATCTTTTTCCTCTCCTTCGGCTCCACCGGGACGTCCTCGGGCCCTGAGGTCTCCATCCTTAACTCCACAGACACTACAAAGAGTCAGAAACGTCCCGCAGATCCTTCACCGCTGGACACAACGCAAACGCTGGGGTCCAGAGTGCACTCTCCACTGCCCTCTCTCTCTCTCTATAACTCTATAACTATGTCTCTCGCTCACTCTGCCAGAAAAGCTATTTTTTTCCCTCTCTCTGCTTTTTTTCTGCCGCACTAGAAAGTGCAGACGCTCTCTTTTCTCTCTTCTCTCCTTTCTTTTCCCAAAAGTCACTCTGTCTTCTCTTTCGCTCCTCTGTTTCACAGCACACACACACTTACACACACACAGCAAATGAGGGCTGTACAGGACTGAGCTCAGCCAGAGGCAGGCAGAGGGGGCGGGGCTTAAACAGGGACGGAGGGGGGTGTGCAGTGTGTGTGTGTGTGTGTGTGTGTGTGTGTTTTGAGGTTGATTTGTAATCAGAAAAAAAAGAAGTTAATCCCATCCAGCTTGCTGAGCCTCTTTTGGCCTCTATTTGTGAATGAGAGATTTACAGAGAAACAGACAGAGGGATGGAGAGAGAGAGGGAGAGAGAGAGAGAGAGAGAGAGAGAGAGAGAGAGAGAGAGGGAGGGAGGGAGGGAGGGAGGGAGGGAGAGAGAGAGAGAGAGAGAGAGAGAGAGAGAGAACTGAGGAAATAACTCATTTCAGCTAACGGTCGGACGCAGGATGTTAAACGTAAACACTGGCGGCAGCAGAACATAAGAAAGTGCAGTAATTCACCTCCAACAGCAGAACGTTAAAGGGACGTTCCTGCCTACAGCTGACTTTAAAGGGAAAGTCCACCCACATTTCAAAGTTTCCGTATAATTCAGTGGTTGAGATGAGAGGTCGAAGAACCAGAGGTCGCCATGACTACAACACAGATATAGACAATATAGAATGATGGAAAATAGTGGAAAATCTGAAATAATAAGTTTTCTTTGGGGACTATTTTGCCTCACAACACCCTGCATGTATCCCTCCACCATGAATGGAGTTTAAGTTCTCTAAACTGTCATAAAACAGTGTCTCAGTCATCAGGCAGTGAATTCATAACCATTTCATGTAGGAACTTTCTGTGAGGGAGCTTTTAGAGGTGGACGTCTGGTTCCTATCACCACCACTGTGAACAGTTCTGACTCGGTAAGTTTCTCTAGAACAGAGCGTTTCACTCCAAACCACTCTGAACGACTCTGTTTACATCTCAACTTTTTAATTAAGGAGAAATTTTGAAAAATTAGTGAAATTCCCCTTTAACTAAGCGACGGTATTCAGAATGCAAAACTTTCATTCATTTATCATCATACAAATATGGTAATTACTATTTGTTGTCATTATTATTAATAATGCAAAACATCTCTTAATTTTTTTTAATCCTTTATTGAAATACTGTAAGGTAATGAAAAAAAACCCTAAATGATAAATAATTAATTTCATAGCTTTGCATTAAAATGCTAAAGTGGTTAATCCTGCCCAATCTGGCAACCTTTCTTCTGTATTAGCCAGGAAAACAAGAGCCTGCCCTCATGTATTTGCCCCAAAGTGCTTGCAGTTCTCCCCAAAACTTCCTTCCACCTTCAAGATACATCAGATGGAGGTTTTAGCAGAGATTATATTTAAGGTAAACTGAGATGGTGCAAGTCAATATGGTAAAAAAAAAAATTATACATAAATAAAATAAAGTTCAGCTCCTGTCTGCTTAAGTCTTGCGTCAGCTGCCCCCCGTTTCCTGGGGCAACAGCAGCAACCTGTGTTCAAAGACTGGACAGCGAGCTCAACAAACACAAACAAAACAGCTTTTCTTAAAACCACCTCACTGGGAAAAGAGAGTTTAGGGTCCAAACACTCACAAGACCCGAACAATTACAGACACGGCCTCAACTTCACTGTAATCATAAAAAGGGGTAAAAAATAACCGCTTAAGTTTGGCGAAATGGATAGAACTTGGGGGTGAGCAAGGCCGAAGTTGGAGGCCGTCTTTGCCGTTAATTCAGCCATAAAAGACCAGACTCCTCTCTGAACGAGGAGAGACCAAAACAGTCCAGACTGAAGATCAAATTTCTGTTTCACAAAACACATTTGAAATCTGACAAAATCTGACAGAAACCTCAAATCAATTGTAGTGTTTGGCTCAGTGACGCACAAAAAAGCCTTGGGGTCACTACACGCCTTTCAAAGTCTGAACAGATTATAAAGACTGGGCATCCCACACTGTCTAAATGGTTTCTGCAGACTTTCTAGGGCGACTGAAATATTGGGGATCCACTATAAAAAATTAAGGATCACACACTAATCAAGTTTTCAGCTGCTGCTGAACCGAACGAACTCACTGAACTCCCACGTTCTCCTGTTACTAGGAGACGCAAATAAACAAACGTGAGCTGCTGCTGCTGTTTTCTCTGCCGTTTCCGCTGAAACAGTAAAGAAGCAGCAGGTAAACATTTAAGTGAGGATCAATGATTTAAATGTGATCAGTTGGTATTTTTAGAGTTTTAAAAGTAAATAAACTCGATTGTGTCTTAAACTCAGCTCATTAAAAAGCTTCGCTCCACACCTGCGAGACTTTTCTCCATTTGTCTTTGTTTACTTGTATTTTTTTTCTGTTGCAGGAATCCGTTCAGATTGAGTCATTGACCAGTTTACACCAGATTACACTCGTCAAGTGTAGTTAGAGTCAGGTCAAAAATATCAAATATGTTTGATAAACTCTGACTGGTCTGAAACGTGATCGAGAGGCCAAAACATTGGACATTTTTGCTTGCGCTGTTTTCACTTTTTTTTTGAGAAAAAAATAAAAAGCAGAAAAATTGTCTTTTGGATAGTGAGGTTAGGGTCAGGGTTAAGGTTAGGGGTAATTACTTGGTTACAGTAATAAAAAACTGGAAGTCCTCACTAGGAAGGTAAGACCAATGTGCGTGTGTGTACGCCGAAAACTTTAGAAAACAGCACAAAAACACTGCCAGAGACCCGAACTCTCTCAGTCCTGCCAACATGAACTCAGGTTTTCAGCATAAACGAGCGGAAATAACTTGAATGATTTTTGCTCAGAAATTATTGGTCAGTATGATTTTTCCCGCCCAGTGGAACACAGTGACGCACCAAACGGCAGCATTTAGAGGCGTCAGAAATCACTTCCATCAAAAAAACAAGAACTCTGTCTTTGGAATGAGGCGGCACAGTGGATTGTGCTTAATGTGACAAAAGACACAAACTAATCACGTTTAAAAGGTCTGTTTTGATTCCAGGTTGACTTTAATCTGGAAACTCTCGCTCCAGTGTTTACTGTAGAGGAGAACCGACACAGCGACGGTTCCAGTTTTCATTCTGGCTGTGAAACAGCTGTGATGCATTCGGTTACAATGAAGAAAAAAATGTTTTCTCTTTGTGAGCTTTTTGCTCGGAAAAGCAGTTGAACATGCAGCATGCAGGGATTTCGCTTAATCTTTCTAAAGGGGTCAAACGGACGGCAGCAGAACGGCAGCAGCTTAAACTGTAAACAGGACAAAAACAGTTTTAGATTGAATTCTAAAAATTATGCTTCCTTTTTTACACTAAAATTGTTACAAGTCAAATTATGAAACTGGCAAAAAGTGCGGTGCAGTGCTCAGTGGGTGTCAATTGTAGTGACAAATGTGGCCACTAGAGGCTCTATTTAGCTTAATTTTAATTTAAAGACAAAATGACAACAAGACCAGCAGAATAACTGCTACATTACGTGTGACTGTGTGTTGGCCAATATACAAAATATTTAAAAGTAAATTTCACTGAAAAAAAGGACCAAATAAAAAATAAATAACAATAATGATAAAAATAAAGTTCCCCCAGTGTAACCCTAATGTAGCTGACCTGCCAAGAGATGTTTGGTGTCTGAACTTTGCTTGTTTAGTTTTAGCTCTGGAGCTACAGCCTAATGTAGATAACAAGTAATGGAAACCTACACCCCACCAATTAGCATGGAGGCTACCTGTGTCCCTAACTGGAGCTATGAGGCTGATATGGCTAACAATTATAATGCAAACTTACATCCCACAGATTAGCATCGTGGCTAACTGTATCCCTAACTTCCTAACACCCACACACACCCACACCCCAAGAAGAATAAAGGATATAGGCCCCAAGAGTGTTCAAAGTCCGGCCACAGGGTTAAATGGCCTTTAAGGCAGGGTTTAATTGGCCTGTTGCTTCTGTTTTAGAGTGTATTCTAAGTGACCCGCCAGCCAGCTCACTGCAGTTCTTCCTTACACCTGATGGTGGCAGCAGTGCAGTAAAATTACAGAGTAATGAGGTACTTATTGAGGTAACGAAGTTAGCTAAAGTTTAAGAGCCTTTTTTAAATCCTAATCGAGAGCCACAGCAAGCGCCAAGTACCTCATATTTCAAAAGACTAATAAATTTAATATCACTAGCCATGAAACAAAACACAGACATTACCATAAAAATTAAAGAAAGGGCAGACAAACTAAAGCAGCTGTAAATATTTACCCTTTGAAACTGAACAAGAACGTGTGCTGTTTAATCCGCTCTTCTCGTTTACTGAAGTCATTTCTGGTGTTTTATTGTTATTGGAGCTATTTAATCATTTGTTATAAGCGTCTGTTGATCCAAACTGCTCAGAGTAATCCAACAATAAAAGAAGCCTTGTGCATCTTTAAGACAGTGATAGGAAACAGCAGCTTACAGAAAGCTCTGATTCTGTGCGCTGATATTCTGAAACCTTAATATTTTAAATCATTTGTGAATAATATTTCAGCCCTCAGGTATTTTGACAGGGCAATAACCTAGCGAGCTAACTTGGCCAACCTAGAGCACTAACTGTCTAACCAAGCGAGCTAACTTGGCCAACCTAGAGCACTAACTGTCTAACCTAGCGAGCTAACTTGGCCAACCTAGAGCACTAACTGTCTAACCAAGCGAGCTAACTGTCTAACCTAGAGCACTAACTGTCTAACCAAGCGAGCTAACTTGGCCAACCTAGAGCACTAACTGTCTAACCAAGCGAGCTAACTTGGCCAACCTAGAGCACTAACTGTCTAACCAAGCGAGCTAACTGTCTAACCTAGAGCACTAACTGTCTAACCAAGCGAGCTAACTTGGCCAACCTAGAGCACTAACTGTCTAACCAAGCGAGCTAACTGTCTAACCTAGAGCACTAACTGTCTAACCAAGCGAGCTAACTTGGCCAACCTAGAGCACTAACTGTCTAACCTAGCGAGCTAACTTGGCCAACCTAGAGCACTAACTGTCTAACCAAGCGAGCTAACTTGGCCAACCTAGAGCACTAACTGTCTAACCTAGCGAGCTAACTTGGCCAACCTAGAGCACTAACTGTCTAACCTAG